GGAAAATTGAACCAATATACATACGTACAGGTTCCACATCGTAACTAACCGATTTGTCAGAAGGATGCATGGAGAGTACATAAACAGCTTTTGTCTATAAAACGGCTATGGTCAGGACGACTTGCAACCTTATAAGAAGATTATGTTCAGAAGATAAAATGAGTAAGGAGTGAACGTCATTTGAATGATAATAGTTACCATCGAAAAATTTGTAACTAAGTATAGGAAGATTAAAGCGAATGAAATGGAGCAGCCCATGATTGAAAAAAAAAACCATGTCATCTTAAGATTTGTCTTTGGGTGTGATGAATGAACTGGAAAGAATGATTTAAAATCATATTGCCTATGTTTAATTCTGTTTTAGTGTCACTACTACTGCTTCTACTTTTCTGGGATCTATCTTCTTGATTTTATCTGTTGGTACTGATTTATGAAATGTGGCAACTTGAACCGATGCACGTATGTGTCACGTTCTACTTTGTTTATAACTGACTAAATGATTGACAAAATTATCTACTTTAAAACGATAGATAAGTTTAAGCAACTTGTATGGCATATGGAGTATGAGAATTCAGTGGTTAAGAACATCACATTACTTTATGAAATCACTAATCTTGGATCAAAGACTTAAAATAGACCGTAAGCTTTAATGATGTTTTCTTTAGGATAAGAGGGAGTATTCATTTTGCAATGTGGTAACTTTAACCAATGTATATATGTACCAAGGGGTTCTATGTTATATAAATACATATATAATGATAAAATAAGAATAAAACCTTAGGTCGTACACATCTTCTAACTAGTTGCCTTCCATCATCACAAAGTTGAAAAATAAAAAAATAACACAACGGATATTGATAAAAAAGAGAAGCTATCCATTTTATTTTATACATACAAAGGACTGTTGCTATGTCTCCTCCTCTCTCTGGATCGTTATCTTTCTACCTTTATGTCTTATAATATCAAGGCACACCTTAGTAACAGTTAGATAAACAAATTATTTATAATGATGCCTTCTATCCTGCTATCATTCACAATGATATATGTATATACTTTCATTAATATTCACTTTAAATATGATATCAAGAAGAAATGGATGTTGGGTTTACCTACTACTACTACTACTACTACTACTACTACACTGAGAACATCTGTTTCAATGTTAGCGCACATTCATAGTCACTATTCATTTATTACGATGAGGAGTGTTTTGCATAGATGCAGAAAGACAGCAGAAGCTTTACAATTAAATTATCAAGTTCAGTATTCAACACAATTTAAACAAACAACCAATTATCAAAACTCAGTCAGTCAGCTACAACATGGGATCGGGCACATATATACATCGGTCCAAGTTGCCATACCTCATTCGCACAACAAGATGGACACCGGATTCATAAAAGTAGTTAATGCAGTTGTGGTAATATATAAAAGAAAGATTGCATATAAGAATATAGTACAGGAAGAAAGAATTAGTTCATAGAAAGAAAGATGTAAAGCAATTTTAATCTCTTAGTTTAAGGGAAGACAGACAGTGTATACACCGACGCCATTGTGGTCGATTCTGAGCCATGTCACACAGAGTCTCCAACCATTGGTTACGATAGTCACGCGGACCCCAACTAAGTAGTCTGCATCTACTAACATGGCTCAGACTAGAAATTATTTTTTTATTCCAAGAATTGAATATTTTGGATTTGATCTCTTGTGTGCACTGCTGAGGAATATCAAACTAAGACGAATGAACCTTCCAGTGCTCCATTTGAGTTTGCAGCCAATTTTTACATGATAGTTTTGTTGGGGTGATCCGGCAAATCTTTTACAAAAGACAAGCAAGGATCAGGAAACACTAAGAAGCGTTTCCTCCCATCAGCGTTCACTTGAAGTTCTATCCAAAAATATCAGGGAAGTGAAACATCACATGCAGAGGTTCTGATTGGTTGATTGCTACACTGCTACTATGTTTAGTAGCATTCCAGAATGTTCTAGCAACCCAAGGATATTTAAAATATTATAAAAACCTGTATTTTCTGTATTGAAATGAACCTTGGAGTAAAGTACTTCTCGCATACTTTGCGTCTTCTCTCTCGTTGTTCAGGTCGCTGTATAGTTTTAGCTTGGGGGTTACAGAATAGCTTAGGAAACGAACATAGCGTTCAATTAGTGATCAATCAGTTGTAAATGTCTTATTCCTACAGAATGTCAGTTGTCAGTTGAATGGAGTTTAAGAATGTAAAGCTGAGTTATGCGGTTAGTGAAAATTATAAAAAATATCAGTTGTCTCAAGATTGCAGATACTCCTTGCTGAAGAGTATCAACTAGCACGAAATTTAGGTTCATAGTTTCCTGTAGACTGACTTTAACCAAAGAATGATACGAAAGTTCAATATCTAAATAGAGTGAAATTGAATTCTGTTGAACTATTCGTGCATAAGATTAAAACTTTAATAATAGATAACTTTCAGTGATACATTGATTCAGTCAGTCAGTTAGTCAGTAACAACGTAGAACTTCGTACGCACATACATCAGTTCGAGTTGCCACACCACATTAGCACAGAGATGCAGTTGTCGATTCAAATCCCATAGTGGTAGAGGTAATAAGAGTATAAGCAGTAATCGGCAAGATTAGGGTTTGGAGATGTTATTTAAAGAGTATAATCCAGTGAAAAAAATTTGGAAGGCGGAAAAAAAGGGACATGAAGAATTCAGAAGATTAGAATTTGAGAGAACACAGAGAGTGGATGCACCTGCGCCATTGCAAACGATTTTGAGCCATGTCATTCAGGGTCTCTAACCATCGGCTGCTATCATCTCGTGGTCCCCAACCAGCTAGTCTACACCTACCAACATGGCTCAGTCCACTTGTCAGTGACTTCATGAATTTGTGCCATGTTTTGGTCTGGCCACCCCTAGCTTTCTTCCAACCTACTCCTATACCATTGAACATCGCTAGTCGAGGCAGTCGGTGGTTGGGCATACGTAACACGTGTCCCAGCCATCTCAACTGATGAAGTTTCACTGCTTCATCAATTGATTTGCCATCCTTATCTAGTACCCGATTCCTAACAACAGTGTTACTCGATGGTCCCATGATATACGAGCAATGTTTCGAAGACACCTATGATCAAATACTAGTAACCTACGGATATCCTCTACTCTTACCGGCCATGTTTCACTTCCATAAAGTAGGACGGTACGAACTGCTGCGCAGTAAACACGTCCTTTGGTTGATAGACGGATATCTCGCCTACGCCATAAATGACGCAAGTTGGCAAAAGCTAGTCGAGCCTTCTGTACAAACGAGATGTTTATAATAGATGTGATCATCTTCTACAGTTGTATTGAGTATGTGTATGAGTCACGATCAATATCATTCATTATCATTGCCAACCTCAAGTTGTCATCTAGCAACAGCAACAACGACAACAACACCATCATCATCATAGTCACGGGAAAAATGCTTTCATCACAAGAGAATAAGGAAGTGAAGTGCCCACCAACAATCAAAATCAAATCATAAGGATACATGTAAATGAGAATAAGCAGTATTAACTTATAAAAAAAAGATCGATGGCAAACAGGATTACTTTCTATGAAATTAATTTATGAATGGAAGAAGAAGATATGAGAACCCAAAAAAAGCTTTTTTTCAAATTCTATCATCATTACTATTGCCAGTTGTTACCAGGACGACACCACAACAAATTACGCATATGTATATATCATACACATATAATACGTAAAAAATAGCGTATTAGATATGAAAACAAAACACAATTAGCGTATATATATATATACACACACACACCATTCATCTGTAACCACAACAACTAAAAAAATAGTCTAGAATTCAATAAACAAATGAGTAAATAAATAACTAAACATTATTTGACCTTAATCCACATATAATTTTTTTTTGTTTTGTTTATGGTATAATTGGATTATGGTTAACAGTGGAATAAAAGATGTTTCGTCCAATCTGAGACTCATCAATTGAATGTATTTGCATCTCGGTTTTTATATAAAATACTGAAATAATGAAGTGATATTTGAAGCAACAGGTATTGGGTGTATATAAAATATCAACATAATGAGACGTTAGTACATTCAACTGATGAGTCCCATTGAAATATAAGAATTAAACTTGAATAACTAGACATAAATGAACAAAGAATACAACTCATTAGCAAGAATAATCATTCTTGGCAGTATGTTTTATATTCCTTTTCTGTTACTAGATGAGGATACATTCGTTCTTAGGAGAGATAAGCTTGAAATAGGATTAGTATTGATAATATTATTGATCGAAGAGTGTAACCAAGTCCAACGGACGACTGGTTGAAACCGATCACTAAAGTTATTTTCTAAAAAGGTTACATTTGTATTTCTAGCTTGGATTTTTTTTTCAAACTCATAATGAAAAGTAGGTTTCAGTATATATTGGGAAGAAAATTTTTTAATCCCACCTCATTCTATAAGCGAGCAAAGTTACTGGAAATGTTAGTTATTAATTGGAAGTGTCTTATCCATGGCTCAAAATCGTTTTCAATGGCGCAGGTGCATCCATTCTTTGTGTTTCCTCATAACTTTTTCTTAAATTTCACTGGTTTATATTTTTCTCTTGAATCGTATCTTTGACGCCTAATCTTTTCAATCACCACTCATACTGTTACTATCTTTACAACTCTGAGACTTGCCTTAAAAATTTCATATGTCCGTGTTAATGGGGTATGGCAACATAAACCGATGTACACATGTGCCAGGTTTTAGGCTTTGTTTGACTGACTGACTATATCCAGCTGACGAGTTTCAAGTAGGCGCGTGTCCTGGGTTGTATTGCTAGCCACCATCCATCTCTGCTTATAATGACTAGCTGACTATTCCGTCCAATTTAATTTGATTAGATAATTACGATAAGAAAATCTAAATATCACATCGGAGTTCAACACTATACCTAGAACAATATAACTATGGACCATCGAAAGTATAAGCACTCACCTTGATCTGATCAATAAAATCAGTTAATCGATATTTATCAACTTGTTTACTGGGTCGAATAGTCCAACGATCCCATAGACTGAAATATTTTCCATTTGGTAAACGTGTTTGTCGACACAGTCCTGGTTCACTGAACAAAATAACCGGTAATGCTAAGTTAAGAAAACTATTTCTAGATTTTAATTGAACTAAACGTTGTTCACAATTATTTATTGTTGTCGTAGTCGCCGCCAATGTATTTATTTCCTTTTCAGATGTAAACGAACCAACATGATCATCATCATATTGATTACTGTTAATTACATATTTAAGTAATTCTAAGCAGACTAAACCTGCAACAGTAGCAGTTGTTGTCGCTATAGCTGGTACTATTCGTCCAGCGATACGTTTAACAACATGGCGAGCTGTAATCGGTAGACTGTACATTGTAGCACGTAAATTCTATAACAAATATATACAAAAAAAAAAGAAATGAAAGATTACTGAAACATTTGACCGGGAAAAGGGGAGCGCAAAAGTTTATGTGACGAAGAAACTAGTAGTAAGCAACTGAAGTAAATTTCTAATTGAATGAATGATTCAACACTTTCAAAGCGTTCATCCATAGACTGATAACATCTACAACTTATTACTACTATTGTGTATATGGAGGAATAAATGAAAATGGAAGTGTTTTGAAAGAAAACATTGTTGCTTAGAGATATTTGAAGGGAAACTCGGGTTTCGTATTATTCGGCACTCGTCAACAAGATGTACTTGTAATCTTCAGGGGACTTATACTTCTTGGCAGATTTGGTCAGAAATATTACCACTGAGCTATAGGTACAAAGGAGCACCAAAAAATATATACGCCGCACAAATCACTGGATGTGTATGCGTTGAGATACCATTCGGGTGACAAATCAGAACAAGTGGTTTCATTAGGGGTTCACATTCTGAGCCCTTGACTTACAGGTCTAATCCACGAGACAGTGCAGCAACGTTAGGAGATGCAGTCCTATGGTAGCCAGTGACCAACATTAGGTCCATACTCCAGTTTTCTCCCAGGATCCTGGAGCACAAATACACCATTGGTTTGGAATAAACGTTTCCCAACTCCTCTACATGGATCCGCCATACTCACTTACCCGGTTTAAGCGCTGAACATTCGCTTCTCTTCCTCTCTATTTCGTAAACAATACCCCCACCACGAGAAAGCAATAAGTAAAACTTTTCGCTTCAAATTATTTCAGTTATACACAAACACTGGAACAGTATTTTCTCATCTAAAGTACCTATGAAAGGCACTTAAACACGTACTGTCACCAATTTCTAGTTTCTATTGCCATATTGTCTTAGAGTTTAAGCTTGTTTAGTGTTAAGTCATATCGACTATGATGGGTAAGTGCTGCATTCCAGACCTCAATATTTACATACACCTCTCACCTTGCATACAACAACTACTACAAACTGAATGTTATGATCGAATTAACAATACTTTAATCTTATCAGAATGGGTTTTGTGGAGATTTTTAAAAATTTCACAAGTTGAAATCATGAGCCAATTGAAGCTAGACCACCATGGAAAACCTGGAAGCACTGGACGGCCGATTCGTCCTAGTATGGGACTCCTCAGCAGTGTTTACCAATAGAATAGACTATGTAACATTTATTTTAAGTGTTATTTTCGTCATAGGTATGCATATTTTATACATGTATGTATACGAACATCTTCATTTAATCATTCTATTACATTGAAATGACTCACTTTGTCATTTCCATCACATGGACATGTATCGGTCATGTGAAAAATCATTTTCTGCTTTCTAAGTGTTTTCATTCACTCGTTTCTATACCGGTCATACATGTTTGTCAAATGACTGCGTGAATTGAAATATACACCTTTTGTTGTCTGTCAACACTTGTATAATAACAAGATTTAGAGAAATAGTTAAAGTAGATGACATCGTGTACAAACTTATTTCTTTGTTTAAAAGAGTTAATCACATGGTGATTTGTGTATTACGTATAATGATAATAAATGGATGATTCAACATACGACAATTTAGTGGATTGGTTGAAGTTAGACATTAATATCGTTAGATGCCAACCGGCTCAGTGGTCTAGCGGTTAAGCGCTCCCGCGTGAGACTGATAGGTTTTGGGTTGGAATCTTGCGGTGCCGGATCGTGGGTGCGTACTGCTGAGGAATCCCATACTAGGGTGGAACAGGCCGTCCAGTGCTTCCAGGTTTTCCATGGTGGTCTAGCTTCAATTGACTCATCAGTTCAATTATTAACATGCATCAATTAATTAACTTCAGTTTGAACATCTGTTACGTTCTAGTTTGAGATTTCTTCAGCAATACAATCGATCTCATCACATTCAGGCATCGTGACGATTGAATTGCACATTTAAACTATTCAAGTCATTATTCTCAAATGGTCAAAAGATTTCCAACTTCAGTAAATTTGTAATATCGTTATTCATTGTAATCGGTCCATCTTAACTACTCTATCATACTTGTGTCAATGAATGAAGAGTGATACAAAATAGAGGAGATAAGTACAGAGATTCAACAAGATATGTAGAAATTAGTAGAATAGTCTAGAATTTGGAAATTCTCAACATATACCTTCAAGGGATTATGATATTTCACACTATCTAATAAAGCATAATTAAGTAAAAAGTGAATAATGTTGAGTTACCCATTGTCCAGTATAAATCAAGACATAAAAAAAAAACACTACACATTGTTGTGCAATAACTGCTAAAGGCTTTAAAATTGTTTTGTCACTATGTAGAGCATTTAGAAACCTAAGTGTTGACACATACATAACAATGTATATAGTAGTATTTGTTCACGTAAAACTTGGGTACTGAATATAATCAGCTAATCACTGTTTAAAAATAACAGTATAGTGTTAAAAAGGGTTCAAAGAACAACAACTAAGTTAGGTATTCGAATCACAATTGATTGATCACTGGGTGGTGATCAATCTCATGCTTGTCTAGTCCTTAATAGTGCAGATCGAATGCTATCGATCACGAGATCGAATCCGCCAGGGAGCATCAGTTCCCTCAAGATTACAGGCACACCTTGCTGACGAGTGCCAAGTAGCACGAAACCCGGGTCCAGGGTTTCCTGTTGACTACCTCCAACCACCATCTAATTAGGTATTCGAATCATATGACGAAAGAATGACTAAATGGAATCTACTCTCCTTATCACACAAAACTAGAAGGGACTTGATCACATACTTCGAGTTACTGAATTATTAGGTTTACATGACATATTTTCAATTGTCCTTCAGAATAGATAACATAAAAAAATGTTCACAAGTCTAGGACTAATTACTTATCAGCCGGATACCGATTTTCTTATTGAATTTCTAATAAATGGAACTTTTTATTTAAGTAAATGTTTACAATTTCTTTTGTATAGACATTCAAAAGGAGGTTGGATTAATTGAGGAATAGCCATAGCTATAACTAACAAAGGTCATCCAGACTTATGTCCTTAAAATAAAACTGAATGTTTTAGTTAGATCTTCTATAGAATATAAGGTACAATGCCTAATTCAATGTCATCACTATCTGAATTACATCTTTATGGTTGAATTTCTGTAATTCTTTCTCTTCTTTCTTCTTCTTCATCATCATCATTACCATCAGTATACCATCATGATTTCAACTGTTAAAATAAACGAAACTCAAGCGTGAATGAATGAATGAATGAATGAATGAAAGAACAAATGAATAGAAAAACAAAATATGGACGGAATAGTTGACAACACCAAAAAAAAAGAAGAAGAAGAAAGAAGTATAATCAATAATGCTTATAACGAATAGCATTCACTTATTTTCTATCCATGTAGCAGAAGCAAAAAAAAAACGATAACTAAACAACAACAATAACAAAAATAACAATGCTAATAGTTTATCTACTCGTCACTACGACTACCACTAATACTACTACTACTGATACTACCACCACTACTACTAGTACTACTCTCCTAAGTAAGTTTATCACTATAGGCCTGGTAATTTCGGTTAGGTCATAATTTGATTGATGAAATTAACTAATGCATATATAGATAGATATATATATACATAGATAAACACTGAGTTGCTAGCTATATTCAATTGTGTGTGTGTGTGTGCATCTATATATGTTCATTTGCACACACACACACACCAATAAATAAATAAACATATGAATACAAAACATTTCTATGTGTATAGAGGCGCGCAAGTGCGTCATTCTATTATGTACGACAGGCATTTCTGCCTGTCTATCTATCTATCATATATTGAATATGTCTATCTATCCATCCATATTACTATGGAGAGTTGATTTGACAAAAAGGAAAGTTAACATTTACTTTATTCTTTTTTTTTCTTTCTCTCTCTCTCTCCCTCTCTAAAATTATAATTTGTGTAAAATTTATTCCCATCAGTTTCATGAGTGACTTTTTTCCTCTCTCTCTCTCCCTCTCCCTCTCTCTCAATATTACCAAGATAATAACAATAATAATAGAAAATGACAATTCACAAATGTTATATACAAATTTTCAGTATAGGGTTATAAAGATTATTGAATTCTAATGAGAAATCATAATCAGTGAAGTTTCAACAGTGTTTGTTGTGAGTTAGTAGCTCACTGATGATAATGGTGAACGATCGTGTAATATTTTAGATGAACGGAAATTAGACATTAACATTCAGTCAGTCGTCAGTCAGCTACAACGTAAGACCAGGCACATATATGTATCGGTACAAGTTGCCATACCTCACCATATTAGCACAACAAGATGAACACCGGATTCATAGAAATAGTTAATTCAATAGTGGTAATATATAAAAGAGAGACTGCAATAAGGATATAGTACAGGAAGAAAGAATTAGTTCGTAGAAAGAAAGATATGAAGCAATTTTAATCTCTTAGTTTAAGAGAAGACAGAGAGTGTATACACCGACGTGACTGTGACCGATTCTGAGCCATGTCACCAAGAGTCTCCAACCATTGGTTACGATAGTCACGCGGACCCCAACCAAGTAGTCTGCATCTAACAACATGGCTCAGACTAGAAGTTAGTGACTTCAAGCACTGATGCCACGTTTTAATTCGGCATCACCTAACTTTCTTCCAACCATCCCGAACAACGGTTAGCATTGCACGTCGTGGTAATCGGTGTTCAGGCATACGTAACATGTGGCCCAACCATCTCAGTCGATGAAGATTCACAACCTCATCGACTGACTTACCATCATTCCCTAATACTCTGCGTCTAACCTCACTATTACTTACCCGGTGATCCCAGCAGATGCCAGCAGTATTTCTAAGGCATCTGTGGTTAAATACTAGTAGCTTAAGAGTGTCTTCTATTCTTAATGGCAATGTTTCGCTGTCGTAAATTAGAACAGAACGGACTGTCGCGCAGTATACTCGTCCTTTTATTG